CTTGCCTAACCTTAACTGCAGTCATGGCAATGAAATCCAGTCTTCTGTTGAAAGACTGAGAAGGTTTTGTTCCTACACCTGCTACTGCCTTTACAAGCCCTTATCTCGGCAAAGCACTTCTGGAAGAAGACTGAAGACAGTGGTCTCAGGGATTGTAAGTGTTTCCTTGTTGGCTGTAACTCTAGAAATCCAGCAGGATCTGGAAATAAACTAGACTCTTCAAGGGCTTTGTTCACAAAACTTGCCTGTAGCTCTAGACGGAAACAAGATATCAACTTATAAAATGAGACAAAATATGCTACCTCTCACAAGGCTCAATTTAGGACAGGATGCACATATTCCTCAATCTCATTTATCACCGATTCCTGATTTTTCAGGTCTCATCCTCCAAGCAGCTCTACAAGTAAAGACATGTGGGTTCCCGTTCAGCCTAGCTTTCAATTTAAGCATGCTGCCTCATCCTGTACAGATACAGCAGTCATCTATCTACACTTTAGATTCTCAAACTTCCCTGAATCGTGTTTAATTCTGTGTGGGGGATGAATACTGTATAGGAAACTCAGAAAACATTGTTTCCCAGGAAACAGGTGTAACAAACAGTTCCTCTGACCGATTGCTCACCTTGCCYCTAACTTTAGACTTCAGTGTTTCATGGATACACCAGACAAAACTGAGAGAAAAGGAGCAAGAAGGACTAAAACCCATTAAATACTCACATATCTGCCAGAATTCTGTATCAAACTTCCTGCGAGGGCTAGGCTTGATTTGCCACTATCAGTCAGCACTCTTCCTGGCTCCAGGATCCTAATGAATCAAACAATAGGCTTATTATTTCAATCTCTAAACCTTAAATTTCCCTGTAATTACAGGCAAAGGAGAGGCAACTGCTGTGCAAGAGAAGCTGAGGGCACCTGTCGTGGTTCCAGCCCAGATGAGCAGGAGGGGGTGTGCCCAAGACACAAATGTTATGTGATTCAACCTTATGTCATAGATACKGGTGGGGAAAGGGGATTCTTTCCCTCTCTTCTGAGAAGAAGGGGTTTCTTTTCCAGTCTGGAAAAGTGTGGTAGCATTGGTTTGTCCAGCATTGGTTTTCATTATCTCGGGCTTGGTGAGCATTGTGCATGTAAATGACYCTCTCTCTGTACACTTTTGCTGTCAGTATTGCTGCTGTCTCAGTGGGGAACAGAATTGTAAAATACCCTTCCTAAACCACGACAGCACCTCAGCTGTCACCTTTGTGAGCATTTCTGTCTCCTCTGGATCCAGGGAACCCAACTACTGAACACTTCCCACTCTGTTGTTCCCAGCACCTGGGCTTTTGGTACAACAACCTACAACAGAAAACAGAAGCTGAGAATATCGACTGTTCCAAATGCTGCATGCTATGTATAGGGTGTGAATTGACAAAATTTGGAGCCTGATGCCCAAATTCTATTCTCATTTTTAGTGWCTGCCTATGTACAATGCTTACAGTAAAATGAGCATAAGCACTAAATCGATTTCCTTACAACCTAAAAGGAATTCTGATCTCTATGTGAGAAATTGTCTTAGAATTAAGTCCTAATTAAACCTGTAACAATACCCTGGTAAGCCAAATTAAAATACAAGGGAAAGCATTGTCCCTGTTCTCATGAGTCTCTTTTACACCCTTCTAGGCCATGCAAAGTTCAGTAACAAACATTGYTCCCTAAGTAATAGATTGTCAAAGCTGTTGCTATCCCTTAAATCAGACTTATTGCCAAAGTAGCTCTGCTTTCAGGAAGCTSTAACAGAAGGCATTAACCTCAATYARGGCAAGCCCAGATTCTGTCTTTGCAGGCTTTCCAGGATATATGTAAACTATTGGTACTTTTCTATCCCAAAAGCTAAATCTAGCTTSAAGCCTACTTACTATTCATGTTAATTGCAGACAAGAGACCAGTCCGTAATTGCAAGAGGAAATTCAAGACCTTATAYTGCCCTTGCCATGCCTCTTTCAGCTGTTGTGTTGTGATTGTGAGGAATCCATCAAAACCCAAACTGGACAGACCCCAGTAAATTGCTTGTCCTAATCTTCACTGTAGCTATGATCTCAGCCAGCTGATCTGAAAATACCCCTTGCAGTTATGTTCCTTGCCTCATTTCTGCAATATATTCAGAGTCCAGCAATTAGCCTGGCTCAAGCCTCCATTTCTCACATTACCTTTGTCTCCAGTCCTAATTAGAGAGGTGTCTTTTCGTGATGCCTAAAAGCACATTGGCTTCTGTGCACACCAACCCTCTTTTTATCTGGGCTTTTTGAGCAGATTCCAGGAAAAACCTGCCCTCCTCGGGGGAAGGTTGTGTGTAGCCCTGTGCTATCAGCAGGGATGTGGGCAGCCTGCTGCAGTGCTCCTCCCTGCAYTGCCTTCCCTGTGCCCTGCTCTCCACAGCACTTTGCACAGCTCCAAAGGCTGCCCCACCATTTCCTGGCCTTTCACTCACAGGACAATCTGTATAAAACCCCTCASAGCACAGATGGGTGAAAAGCAAACAGATCTGGGCAATACCTGTCCTAAAAAGCATTAGTTTCACATCAGCTCCTCCCCATAACTCTTACATGGGCTTTTTGGCAGTGTGTGGCCACAGTTGCCTCACCATATTGATCTGTCTGACATGGAGTTAATTTTCCCCAGATCAGTTCTGAAAGTGCTGTGCTTTGCAGTGGCAGCTACAAAGGTGTTGGYAACACCYCGGTGTTTTGGCTGCTGCCAGGCAGCACTCCCACAGCATCAGTGCTGTCTCTCCAGCATTAACCCCTCACCAGCAGGTTGCAGGTGGGTAGGATCTTGGAATGGGACATCTCCCACACTGARCAAAGGGATATATTGCATGTGATATGATGTTTGCACAGCAATAAAAGYGAGGGGAAAGGAGGAGAAAGGAAGTGCATTAGTTATTTATGATGTTTGTTTTTGGAGCAACCACCACGTGTATGCAAGCTTTGAGGCTGGCATAAAGCGTGGAAGGAGATCCATAGAGCTGAACAGGCTGTTCAGGCTGCTCTGAGCACAGCTGGGAGTGGCCCATACTGTGACAGAATGCATTTYGACCACTTTAGCCACCTCCTAGCATATCCCAATACAATTATTCCCTTGAATCATCAGTGATGCTGCACAAAATCAGCCAAACAGCTTGCTCTSCCCTGCCAGAGTAAGAGCTGGGGCCAGTAACAGCTGGGCCCAGTAACAGCTGGGGCAATTCCATAAAAGATCAGGACCACTGGATTTAGAATTAGACATCCTCCCTCGTGACTACAGGTTTAGTCCTGGGAATGTATTCAAATTCCATTCAGACAAATTATGTATCAGAGCTTTACTTTCAATTAACACCCTAAGTAATCTGTAAGCTGTGGGAGTGTAGGGTTACAAAGATCCAGACAACTGAGCTGGATCAGTTGAAAAGGCTGTCTCCTCTGGTTTCAAGGAACATCTGGGATTGAAGCACTGGAGGAGTAGGAATGATACCTATGCCGTGCAGAAATCTCTATTTTGTGTGGGATACATGTATCAGACACCTCCCTGCAACCAGCCACTGTCCACTGCAAGAGGTGAAGACCTGGTGCATCTTCTCAGGAGASAAAGCCCAGCTACAGCCAGGAGTTCCAGAAAGAGCAGGGCTGTTCTGCTTCATGCCATATGAAATCCCAAAAATCTTTCTGTACTTCTGAGTGCTTTGGGCCAACTTTTCCAACACAACAGGATGATGGAAGGCCTGTTCCAGGCTGAGTACAGCACCAGAAGTCCAGATATGTCATTTTCCTTCAAGCTCCAAATGCATTTTAATCACACTGAAGGTATAAATCACTACGTCTAGGCAGTCATACGGCAGCTCCAAGGTCCATTCACATTAAGCATTATTAGCAAGGATAAAGTGGCTAAGAGAAGCAAATATTTTGACATTTTCTGGGTCAGTACAAGACAAACAGGTAGGAAACAAGCAGGCCTCTGAATGTGCATGCTCTCTTTTCTCTGCCCTTTGTTCTCTGCCCTTTCCTTCTGTTCCAAAGGAACAGACCTGGACTTCACCAGGACTGCTGATGACTGCTGAAGACTTCAGTCTGAGTCCCATCTAACCAGCATGCAGGAGAAACGGTATCTCCACTAAAAATCATTTTCATTTCTAGGTTAAACTTCTCAAATCTGAGACCACCAATATTGACTGCAGTAATCAACACAAAACTAGACTCAATGGAACTAGTTTTCAAGTATGTTCATCATTAAAAAGCCATTATTTAAACAGTTTACTTTGACATCCTATAGCATCCATTTAAAGGGTGTCATCCAATTAAAAAAGAAATACAGATCAGATCTGGCCTGGTAAAAACACTTGGGATTGTTCCTATGGAGTGCAACAATTTTTAGAAGGTCATGACACCGACAAATTTGCAGTAAGTTGTATACCTAACAACTCTAAAGGTGATTTGCTTTCCAGCTCTTGCTGCTGTTGTACATTTTGAAATTAAAACCAAGGAGACAGCACTATCCATATCTTAAATAGTATCTAAAACAGTTGTGATACTGGCTGGTTGTCTCTAGTGTAGGTGATGAAACAGCTTTGCTCATAAAATGGCTGCTAAGCAAATCTTTTTAAAGCATTTATTATAAAACAAAATCCACATAATCTATAGTACAAAAGCAGAGTCTGTTATCTGTACAAATATTTATACAAAATACCAGTTACTTCAAACAAGCCTTTGGTTTTGTTAACATAAAGAAACATTGCAGTTTCATGACCAGAAAATTGTTAACGTACAATGGTCTGAAGTGATGACAGCCTCAAAGAAGTTTTTTTACAATAGTATTACCAAGTCATTTGTGTGCTATAAGGCCATGCTTAGAAAAGTAATTGATAAAGACTTTCTGCAACACAAYGAAGATTTTATGTCTCTAATGAAAATTGTGGCATGCTGAAAACAGCATTGATTTAATCCCCAAACATGTAAATATCAGTTACTGGCATTTTTTAAAGGCTATGTATTTTTGACAGGTATTGGGATGTCTGTTGAAATAGATATGAATATATAAATCAAAGTTAACTTGAAAGAATGCACTTGAGAGAAACTCCAATATATTACAAATTCAAAACATGCATGCTCTAAAAAACTCCAAAATTGTAAGCTTTCAGTAAGTTCCACAACTTGTGTCTGTGTGTATTTCAGCTGAAGAGAACCCTAACAATAACACAAAGCTTTGTTAAAACCAGCTGARTACAATCTACAATTTTTTTCCCACGGTTTATACGTTRATCTGTTTAAAATACACAAGGCACTGAAGTATTGGGTTTGGTTGTCTTTTGAGGTAACGAATGCTACAAAATGATACACATATAAAGCTGTAATTATTAGGCTGTTTGCAGAATACACATTTTAATATAAATATAAAAAGATTACGTGTGGGTTATATAATAAAAATTCTTGGTACTTTGTATATTCCTGTACATTTACAATAGCAGCAATTGCAATACAAATAGGTGAGTAGGAAAGCGCTCTGGGTTACAGTTGTGTTTATGATACCCCCCAAATTTCACACAGCAATCCTCYTGCTTTCCACAGCTTTTGTTTTACCTCCACAGGCTGATGAATTCCATGTACAACTATTTACAGGCTGCAGGATCTCTGCACAAACCCAACTGGGATATCGCTCCCTTTGTCAAATGGGGCCACCCCAGAATGCTGTCACCAGAGTGGCCTCATTATTTATAGAAAGGTGCATCAGCGGGAGCACTCGCTTTTCAGGTGTTGATGGTGCTGAGTTAGTCTGTCACTGGAGCTGTCAAACTCACTTTTCTCCTCTGACAAGTCCTTCTAAGCACGTTCT